GGGACACCGCACCGCGAACCACCGCCGGACGGAGGAGAAACGTTTGTCTTGACTTCGCCCTAACAACGGCGGGACACCGCGAGCCACCGCCGGACGGAGGAGAAACATTTGTCTTGACTTCGCCCTAGCAGCGGCGGGACACCGCGAGCCACCGCCGGACCGAGGAGAAACATTTGTCTTGACTTCGCCCTAGCAGCGGCGGGACACCGCGAGCTACCGCCGGACGGAGGAGAAACATTTGTCTTGACTTAGTCCTAGCAGCGGCGGGACACCGCGGGACACCGCGAACCACCGCCGGACGAAGGATATACATTTGTCTGGAGTTCGCCCTAGCAGCGGCGGGGCACCGCGAACCACCGCTGGACAGAGGAGAAACACTTGTCTTGACTTCGCCCTAACAACGGCGGGACACCGCGAGCCACCGCCAGACGGAGGAGAAACATGTGTCTTGACTTCGCCCTAGCAGCGGCGGGACATTGCGGGGCACCGCGAGCCACCGCCGGACGGAGGAGAAACATTTGTCTTGACTTCGCCCAAGCAGCGGCGGGACACTGCGGGGCACCGCCGGACGGAGGAGAAACGTTTGTCTTGACTTCGTCCTAACAGCGGCGGGTTCATTCCTCTCGCGCGCCCACGCAGCTTCGCCTCGCCCGCGCGCGCGACGCGAACGGAACGAAACGATTTCCCGGTTGGGGGTCTTCGTTCCACTGCGATCTCACCCTCGACTTCCGACATATAACAACATACGCATATACCTATACGACCACCTGGCGGGCGATAGGGAAGTTGGGGTGGGATTGAGATCGAGCGCCCACCCAGACTGACCTCCAGCCTGTCACCTTGATCTAATATCTCTCTTTCTCTCTGTCTCTCTCTTTCTCTCTCCCTCTCTCTTTCTGTGTCTGTCATTCTCTCTGTCTCTGTCTCTGTCTCTGTCTCTGTCTCTGTCTCTGTCTCTCTGTCTCTCTCTCTCTCTCTCTCTCTTTCTCGCAGAAACAAGCGAATTGATGGATAGGGTTGGGTGGATTGGGTGTGAGTATATAAGATGGGACAATATGGGTTGGATACTATAAAATGTATTGGTTTGGACAAGATGGATTTGATAAAATAAGCTGGGTTGGATGAGGGAACTCGCCGCAGGCGCCGAATTAGCCTGGCGAAAGACCCAACCAACCACATGCAGTTGTGGTTATCGCATTCGGGGGAGCCCCGTATAGGGCCACGAAACGCTGTGCTGGGTGTGGCGGACGCATGCGCCCCCCTCCAGTGAGCCCTTCGGTGGAGCTCCCTGTTGGGCCACGAAGCGCCGCGCTGGGTGTGGCGGACGCATGCGCCCCCCACCCCCCCACTGGGGCCTTCGGGGGGGCTCCCTATGGGCCACGAAAGGCCGTGCTGGGTGTGGCGGACGCATGCGCCCCCCTCCCACTTGGACCTTCGGTGGAGCTCCCTATGGGGCCACGAAGCGCCGTGCTGGGTGTGGCGGACGCATGCGCCCCCCCCCCCCCCCACTGGGACCTTCGGTGGAGCTCCCTATGGGGCCACGAAACGCCGTGCTGGGCATGGCGGACGCATGCGCCCCCCTCCCACTGGGGCCTTCGGTGGAGCTCCCTATGGGGCCACGAAGCGCCGTGCTGGGTGTGGCAGACGCATGCCCCCCTCCACTGGGACCTTCGGTGGAGCTCCCTGTTGGGCCACGAAGCGCCGCGCTGGGTGTGGCGGACGCATGCGCCCCCCCCCCCCCCCCCCCACTGGGGCCTTCGGTGGAGCTCCCTATGGGGCCTCGAAACGCTGCGCTGGGTGTGGCGGACGCATGCGCCCCCCTCCACTGGGGCCTTCGGTGGAGCTCCCTATGGGGCCACGAAACGCTGCGCTGGGTGTGGCGGACGCATGCGCCCCCCCCCCTCCCCCCCAGTGGGACCTTCGGTGGAGCTCCCTATGGGGCCACGAAGCGCTGTGTTGGGTGTGGCGGACGCATGCGCCCCCCTCCACTGGGACCTTCGGTGGAGCTCCTTATGGGGCCACGAAACGCTGCGCTGGGTGTGGCGGACGCATGCGCCCCCCCCACTGGGGCCTTCGGTGGAGGTCCCTATGGGGCCACGAAGCGCTGTGCTGGGCGTGGCGGACGCATGCGGGCTTTGCCGCTGGGACCTTCGGTGGAGCTCCCTATGGGGCCACGAAACGTGTGAGAGGTGCGCCGAGAGCAAAGGCAAGGAGGGGGAGGATGGAGGAGAGGAAGGAGGGAGGAGGGAGGAGGAGGGAGGAGGGGGAGGAGGAAGGAAGGAAGGAAGAAAGACGCGGGGCACCGTCTCTTCAAAACGAGGACACAACACCACAGGATGGGTGGGAAAAACATGAACCATGAAATTAGCGACGCGCGTTAGCACCGGGGCGCCCGGGACACCCGGGACACCGCCCGCCCAACTGGGGCACCTCCTGGCCACCGGCGGACGGGAAACGGACTTTCGCTCCTACTGGACACCCGGGACGCCGCCCGGCCCAACTGGGGCGCCTCCCGGCCGCCGGCGGACGGGGAACGGACTTTCGCTCCTACTTCGGCCTAGCTATAGGAAGATCACGCGCAGCTTCGCCTCGCCCGCGCGCGCGACGCGAACGCGAAACCGAAGCCGATTTCCCGGTGAGGGGTCTTCGATTCGCTGCGATCTCACCCGCCAACATCCGACAGTTTCATTTTCATATATATATATAGATATATGTATATGTATATATACGTATAGACGCGTATGTCTGTGGACATGTACCAATGTATGTATGTGCGCGTATGCGTGCGTGTACGTGCACATACTTGTACATACAATCGTACTATAAACGACTGTCGCCTGTCTCTTTCTTCACATGTGTGCGCGTACATATGTGCGCAAATTCACATACCTATACGAGCCCCCTGCGGGCGATAAGGAGGTTTTTTGGGGTGAGATCAAATGCCCACCCAAACTGACCTCCAGCCTGTCACCTTGATCTCATCTCTCTCTTTCTCTCAGTCTGTCTGTCTCTCTGTCTCTCTCTCTCTCTCTCTTTCTGTCTCTCTCTCTATCTCTCTCGCCCTTCCTCTCTCCCTCTCTATCAGAGTCTCCCTCCACCACAATGATGACCGCGATGACGATGAAATCCCACTATCTACCAATCGGTCGACCGCGCCAGGGCTGGCAGCGCCTGGCCCCGGGAACGCCGTGCGGAGAATGCGCGCCGCGGGAGACGCCATGGCAGGCGGACGGAAGGACGCCATGGGGCGACTTCCGAAACGCAAGGGCGCCGAACGCTCGAGCCTCGCACTCTGCCGCGAGCGCGCCCAAGCGCCGACAAAAATGAATTCATGGATTGGGTTGGGTGGGTTGGATTGGAAGGGATAGGATGGATTGGACAAGATAAGGTGGGTTGGATTGGAAGACGTGGATTGGATAAGATAAAATGGATTGTTGAATCGGCCCGCCGCAGGCGCAAAAACAAGTGAATTGATGGATTGGGTTGGATGGAATGGATTGGGTGGGATAGGATAAGATGGGACAGTATGGGTTGGATAAGATAATACGGATTGGACTGGACAATATGGATTTGATATGATAAGCTGGATTGGATAAGAAAGCCCGCAGCAGGCGCCGATAAACATGAATTGATGGATTGGGTTGGGTGGGTTGGATTTGATGGGGTAAGATGGATTGGATAAGATAATATGGGTTGGATTGGAAAAAATGGATTGGATAAGATAAGATGGGTTGGATTGGCCCGCCGCAGGCGCAAAAACAAATGAATTGATGGATTGGGTTGGCGGATTGGATTGGGTGGGAAACGATAAAATCGGACAATATTAATTGGATAAGATGAGATGGATTGGATTGGGCAAGACAGATTGGATAACATAAGCTGGATTGGATACGGAAGCCCGCCGCAGGCGCCGAAAAAAATGAATTATGAAATTAGCGACATGCGTTAGCGCCGGGACGCCCGGGACACCCGGGGCACCCGGGACACCGCCCGGCCCAACTGGGACACCTCCCGGCCACCGGCGGACGGGAAACGGACTTTCGCTCCTACTGACACCCGGGACACCAGGGACACCGCCCGGCCCAAGTGGGACACCTCCGAGCCACCGGCGGACGGGAACGGACTTTCGCTCCTACTTCGGCCTAGCTACAGGAGGATCTCGCGCAACTTCGCCTCGCCCGCGCGCACGACACGAACACGAACACGAAACCGAAACCGATTTCCCGGCGGGGGGTCTCCGTTTCACTGCGATCTCACCCCCCAACCTCCGATCCACATGCATATCGATATGTATTGCGTTATGCCTCTATGTCTGTTTCCAGTGACTTCGACTTCTGCCACACATGCCCCTCAACTCCAACATCGAAGTCCCATCCTCTGCCTCGGACCAACATGTGCTGTCGTGCTGTCCCACTGGCTCGGCTCAAAAGGGTCCAATACTTGAAACATGAGAAAAGGTAGAAGAGCAGACACTAACACAAAGATTTGAACTTTCAGCCGACGGTCCTGATCTGCTATTCTTAATTATTTGACACAGACAGGCCAAAGTTTATACATGCCAAGCAGTATAATCAATCATACGAACGTGTACAATATCAACAGTATGGGTAACCCGTCTCAAAAATGACAAAACAGAAAACTTGAAAGTTATTAGGCAAGTGAAAGAGTGTAGAAGGGTATGACATAAGAGACGTGCGATACCACTTTCGTGTGTGTGTGCTTTTTACTTTTCGACTTTGGGTACTGCCGCTTCCTACGTTTCTACGTTCCTGCGTTTCGCGTTTGGCATTTGGCAAACATCGGATTTCTACTTGTCCAAGTCTCTACTGGCCCATGCGCCAATGCACTGTTCTACTTTTCGCGCCCCTCCGAAACAACCAAACACTTACACATGTTGGTCTCGGCTCATCCTCCTCCTCCTCATCCCTCTTCATCATTTCTCCTAATCCTTCCCCCTCTTGCTCTTTCTCATCCTCCTCCTGACCTGATGAATTTCTGGCCCTCCCGAATCCTCGGTCTTGTACTTGCACGACACCGTCCCGGTGCAGCCGTTATTGCGCTCCACGCACAAGTTCACCGTGAAGTCTTCGGGCTCCTCCTGTCGATATCGGGCGCCGTGGACACTTCGGAGGGACAGCGACGAGGCGGAAGTGGAGCTGCCCCCTTCGCCCGACACTATCTTGCATAGTTGTGCCCTTTTGGGCAACGGATTAGGCTTGCCCGTTGGCCCGGACACCCTGCTCGCCGCATGCCCTTTCGCTCGTGGCCGCGACCAAAAAAATTTTGGGCAACGGCATCCTCACCAGATGTCGCTACGCGGGGCTCCCCTCACCGGTCGCAGCAAAGCCATTCCCCGAATTTTTTTCCAAGCGAAAGTGACGTTCCAAAGTGGACAGAGTGCAAGTGCACGAAGCCGTTCGCAGTCGACGAATGGAGCGCCCTGGTGAGGCCGCGACAAGCACGCCCATCTCTCGAAGCCCCGCAGTCTGCGTCGCAGAACGCGTCGCCGACGAAATCCAGAAGGGAGTCCGAGCTCCGTAATTAACACCATGTACTGGCTACTCCGGATTCCATAATAAAGTGGGGGGGGGGTCACATTTGGGGGGGGTCTGATTTGAGCTGTCTCGGAGGGTTCGGGGGGGTCTGGGCGAAGGGCCGCCCTTTCATGGATGGTCTGGAGGGGTCTAAAACTTTTCGTCTGGGAGGGTTGTGACCCACTCCCTTTTATTACGAAATCTGGAGTAGGTTGTTGTGTCACTGCATGGGTTTGTCCGCAACCACAACCTGAAGCAGCAGGCGTGCGTGAAACCGATTGCGTTTTCGCACCAGAGAGGGCCAGCCACCCTCACAGCAGATGCGAAAAGACCGTATTTGTGGGATGCGTTTGGCACTGCGCCTGAGCGTCTTCTGCTTCCTGATACAAGCGAGATCTCGTGTTACCCTGTCCAAAGTCGGAAGGGGAAATCCCCCGAAACAGATTTTCAAGGCTTGGGGAGGGGCCCCCAAATGCCCCCAAACCCATCCAACATATGCCGAGGATGGCTCCTTGATGGCCCTGGACTGGCCGACGTCGGCCACGTGACCCTCGTCAGCCACAAGACAACCCACAGCGGCCCCCTGACAGCACCTTGGCGCCGCAAGATGGCCTGCCGACCTGGTACAAGACCCAGAGCATCTCAAGAGGTCTCCAAAGATGCTCCCCAAAAGCTCTCGACCAAACCGTAAGGAATGCAGTCCGAACCCCGTGATCGGATCACTCAACGGCCCTTCCCCCCCCGGCTGCAAACAAGAACGTGCGTGATGCGCTCGCGCAAGAGGCCAGTCCGAGCTGTCCTCCTCCTCCACCTCCTCTTTCTTCTCCTCCT